AAAAATGCCTATACATCMGTGTTCTTACAGTATTTCTCCATCAAACAATTTGGATTTGCCTTCCCGTGATACCAAATTGCTCATATTTATTCCCATCCCATTTYGTAAAATGAATGTGAATTACAACAGGGTTTTCAGCTCTTCACAGTATTCATGAATAAGATATTCCTAAAGAAGAGGAAGGAAAATAAATCACTGTGAAGTTTAGTAATGATCTATAATGGATCAAGGCAGGAACAGTGTTAAAGTTGATACAGCAAAGTAACCTTGAGAATTGTCTTAGCTTTYAGGGAGAGTGTAGTTGTCACTAAATGTAAGCCTTATTAAATGCAGCTGGATAGTCCTGTGCAGTGATGCAATAAAACTAGAGATGAACAGTGTGAGGCTTAGACAAATAATGTATGTTACCACACCTAATATTTTCTAACCAACTTTAATTCCGGCTGTCATAAGAGAACAGTGGTGGTTATATGGGATCAYAGTCTTGCTGACCTGCACAAATCTATACATTGAAACTGCATTGAAACTGATTTATGCTGAAAAACAGAAAAATGCACAGAAATTATTTGTGGAACTGGTAAAATTACACTCTTAGTGTAAAGAAATCTCAACCAAATTAATCCATAGATACAGATGCTTGCAAAACAAGCATAAGCTTTTACCAGTTATAAAAACTATATAYGGGGGGAACTGATATGAAAAATGTAATAAACTTATTCAGAGTAAGACAGGTATTACACACATGGACAGGATAAGGGTCCAAGTTATTTTAACATTTTTAGTACCAATATTAATGGAATCCATAATCTTTGTCAGCACTGCTGTATCATTTTATGTCTTCATCTTTCTATTGCATATTGCAAAAAATTGTAGTATCTTTTGATTACTCTCAGTAAAACTTTATCAAAACTTTATTTTGATGGTGTTACATGATCTTTTTGTGATACAKTTCTGTGAAAAGCATTAAAATGAATGAACCTATAGCTCCAGCATATATAACATCTACAATATAGATTCTTAGAGTTATCTGTGAATCATATGTTTTGAAATGGGATATGAAGGCTTGACACTTGGTTTGAGCAATGATTTAGTTTGGTGCAGCTTTTTAAAAGTGATTTTAAAATCATCTGCAAATAACCCTGAAGTGGAGCATCTAGAATAGTTTCTGCTGGTTGTGCTTCCAAGGTGGATGTTGTGATGTGCTAATTAATTCCCCATGACCAGTAGATGCTGGAGCATACACACATGTGCCTTCATAYATAGTTTTCTAATATACACATATATTTATGTGAACACGAAAGTGTGTGACTKAAAATCAGGTGTCAACATTTTAAATTAGTCCTACATGAACATCCAACTATAACTCTAAACTGAGTGGGTTTTATCTTAACAAGTTAGTGGCCTGGACACATCTGTTAAAAGAGTCTGCATCCATCRTTTTGTTTTCAGTCCTATACAGCCTAGTGTTTTGGTGAGATGCAATAGTATTAATTAATGGAAATGAGAGATGCACTTTACTCTTAATTATAATAAAAAGGGTTAATACAGAATGTAGAGGTGACTAGATAATTTTTTTTAATTAAAATAATAGACTCATTGATGAAAAACTCTTTCATGAAACATTCCATTATTGCTTTTACAGATCCATAATTTGAGGATTGCTCCTCAAAAACCCAGATGAAATGATTTGACAATCATGGGTCCATTAAAGGTTTAAGAATTATCTGGTTAGATTAGGAAGAATTTAGTTGGGAAAAAATCTTGTGTGATTTATTATTTATTATGCTATTTAGAATTGCACAGCCACATCCTAAGTAGTCTGTATCTGCAGAACACTGTGCTGAATGTGGGGCCTTATCACCTACAATTAAACTTTGCACTGATCCACTTATTATTTCTGCATCTTTAGCACAGTAGAAGKATTTATTTTGACATCCATTTCTCTCATACCAAGTAAACTGGACATGATAGTGTTGATCCKCAGGCCAATCACCCCTTAGGCATTCCTTAAGAGCCAGAGTGATTAGGGAAATGTGAATTACAATAATAGTAATTCCAAAAAAGAAATTGACAAGGAAAAGATAAGGCACATGGCTGTAGCTCAGTGAGGGTAAGAATCTCCTCAATTCCTGATGCACTACTGTCGCTACACTTYATACTGTTGAAAGAAAAGAGCCTAAAGCAATATCTCTGTGTGCTGTGAGGTGTCCTACCATGAACTGTGGTGTTTCCAAGCATTCAGTAAAGCCTTCTGTTTCACCACTCTGCCAGACCTTCTCACTATCAAGKAAGAATCAGCAAAAGGAAACCTAAGTCTGTGCTTTCTACATCCACTGKGATCTGCTACCTAGATGCTCCAGAAAGCAACTGTCTTCACCAGTAAGTAAATAGCCCCTAAGTAGCTTCAGCCTGGACAAGTATTTTCTTATACATTTCTGCCTTTTATTTCTTATCTGCTGTTTCCTTTCCCATATTATAATTTCATCTCCTTCTCCATTTTCCTGCCTGAATCTGACTCTGAAGCTTTCTGATAATTTGAGAAGATATGGTGCCATAAGTGTAACAGTGTGCAATGGTTTTATTGTAGAATGTTTGAAAGTATTTGTTTAACTGAGCTGTGTGTTAAATATTACATGCATGAACTTATGGGCAAATGACAATCATAGTTTAATTTATATTTTTAAATTTGTTGTCACCCTAGGCAAATTAGGTATGCATTGCTTATTAATTTGAACCATACAAACTGACATTTAGAATTGCACAGCTCTTTTCTTTGGTGGGGCACACATAATTAACAAGTATCTGAAATATTTTTCCAAATATGCACCTGGGTATGCATCAAATGGGCCTTTGGTATGAGAGGCCTGATGGGTGATGTGCCCAGCTGAGCTATTTATCTGTCATGGGCCCAAGAAACCTAGCTCCCCCCACAGCCACTCATTTCCTTTCCTGCATTCACTTTTGTTATTACACCAGCTTTATGAGCATTCTTGGATGTACTGTAAAACTGCCACTTAGAAGACAATCTGACACAGCATACTTACAATATAGTACAGAAATTGTAATTTATGTTGCTCCATCTCTTTAATGAGAACTCATATGGCTAAAAGGTCAGCAAATGCCTAACCTTTACCTCAGCATTCCAGTTCCTCTCACAGTTCTCTTGCTTTTCTTATTCTTCCTCAGGAATGCTGCCTATTCAATATGATCACTCCACCAGGTCCAGTCAGAATGAAGAGCTGAACCTGGGCCTTTTGATAACAGMATACTGTTTTCTTAACTGGATCCCACCTCACCCTGGAAGCCTTGCCAGCCAGTATTAGTGACTATGTGTGCATGTCATCAACACAGTTAGACCTTAATGTTCGATGGAAATCCCTTAAATATGAATTCTACTTGGGAACTACATCCCTTTCATGGGAAACTGAGTACAATAATGTGATTGTTTCATGATGTTGATTTTACCAATTAATGTTTAATTTGGTGATCAAAGAGTTTCTGTTGTAAATACCCATAGACTGCACGTCTCTGGGATACGGCCACAGAATGCAAACATGCRATTTTTTAAAAACATGTAGGGAAAATTTTCTGTGTTTATAGTGAAATGCTGCAAAACCTCATCTTTGCCCTGGAGGATTAAACTATGCCCTGCAACACAGCCCTCATCTGTGTAGTTTAATCACTGGTGCTATCACCAAGTTTTCTATTGCTGTTGGTATTTCTAGCTGAATTAAAGTGCTGCTCAATGGGTTGCAGCAAATGTGTTAAAGTTGTGTGGTAGTGGTATGGAGGCCGTGGTCGTCCAAAGAGAGAAACTGTGCCAATGACGGCAGAGCTGGTAGTGGTCTTCAGAGGCAGTATGTGAGCACCTGCAAATGGGAAAACAAGGAAAAAATCAGCAAACATATGAAGTAGAGCTGGTTCATTGTAGCTGTTTAGGGCAACCTGAGAAGGGGTATCTGCCAACTTGCACTGTTTTGCAATTCTCCTCATTAAGTTTCCAGTTAACTTTTGTCACCTTGCTGCTTGTAAACACATTAATATTTGTCTATTTGCAGTAGGACAGAATCAGTTTACGTCGTTGATACTAATCCAAATTGGTTGCCTTGCTGTGGATACTTCACCTGTTTGCTGACAAGATTACTTGTTTCACGGTCGACAGGGCCTGGAAGGGTCCGAATCCTTYGTACGAGTGAAGCAACTGTGAGAACTCTGAGGACACCCTGGTTCCTGGGGAGGCTTTTCACCTTGCGCCCATCAGCGATCACGGCGTTCATTCCCTGTGAGAGAGCTGCAGCGGAGCCAACTCCAGTAGCCGTTTCCTCCGCCTCCGCTGCCGCCCGGGGTCCGCAGGGCAGCTCCGGACGGAACTCTGCCAGGAAAGGGCATCCAGGTGACCGGCTGGGCCGAGACAGCTCCCGGCAGGGGATGGGGGGGSCATCGGCGGTGCATGGGCGCGGCCTCCCGACATGGGGCCGCGGCTCGCCGCACCCGCCCGGCAAAGGAGCCCCGCCTGCGGGGATCTCCGCTGCGCTGCCGTTGGGCCCGGCCCGGCCCTGCCGACGCGAGGGCCGGGTGCGCCGTGGCCCCGGTGGCCGGGGCGCGGCGAGAACGGGGACACCGTGCCTGACAGGAAGCCCGGCGGCCGGCGCTGCGCGGGCGGGCTCAGCCCTCGCCTTCCCTTCCGCCCCGGGCTGCGCTCCGCCCGCGCCACCCGCCCGCTGCCGGCGGCCCCTCAGGTGTACGCGGAGCGGAGCGGAGCGGCGCGGTGCTGTGCTGTGCTGTGCTGTGCTGTGCTGTGCTCCCCTCTCTCTCCGGCCCGGCCGCCGCAGCTGCTCGCTGGGCCTGTCACGTGGGGCAGCGGCGCTGCCGTCTGTCCTCTGCCACCTGCCCCGGAGCGGGAGCGCGAGCCGGCCATGGGGCCGCCGCCGCGGCGAGCGCCCGCGCCACTCCGGCGAGCGGGGCCACCGCGGGCCAGCGGCGCCGCCGGTTCTTGAGGCTCGGCGGAGCGGCTCGGCGGGTGCGGAGCCGCCGCGGCTTCCCCCGCGCTGAAGGGCAGGCGACAGCGACCCGCCATGGAGAAGGCAGCGGCCGCGGAGCTCCGTCAGAGWGCGCTGGCGCCGCTCACTGCCATCTGCCTGGGTGAGTGCGGCCCGGCCGCTCCTCTGGCGGCGGGGCATGTCTGGGCACGGCGGGCAGCGGCTCTGGGGACTGCTGGGCCCCCTCCTCCCCTACGGGAAGTGACCGTRGGCGGGGGGCGGGGGACAGGGCGAGGCAGGAACACAGAATCGTACCGGCGGAGCCCGCTCCCGTCACCCCGCTTGCGAACGGGGCAAGGGGMGTCGCGGCCCCGAGTCCCTCAGGCACCCGCTCGGGCTGCCATGCCGGGCCGCTCAGAGCGCTGCCCGGTCCAGCGGAATCCATCGCCTTGCCCTTGGCTCGGAAACCGCTGCCATAACCCTGCATAGCCCTGAAAAAAAAAAAGAAAGTTCAGGAGGCACCGCCGGTTCTTCCCTGGGCTGTGAGCTCCTGTGGGGCGCGGGGTGGGCAGCGGCGCCGAGCTCGGTTGGGGTCTCGGACTGCCGGCTGCGTGCCTGCCCGAATCTCTTGAGTGGCAGCGGGAAGAAACATTTTCTCCCCCTCTGTGTCTCTGCCATATTCTGCTCTTTTCTCTGCCTTCTGCTTGAAGCGGTTGGTCTCCACACTGCTTCGCAGCAGGTGTTAAGTTATGGCAACGTGATGAAGCATATTACTGGTTTCCAGTCTGTCAGCCCGTTGTGTCAGGGGAGATGATTTTTGTTAGGCAGAAGCTTTGGCGCCTGTGACTAGAACGAGCGAACGATAGGCCCCGCATATTTAACAAGGGCACGTGAAATTAGGAGTTACTAGCTCTGACTGCACTCTGCCAGAGGATTCTGGTGGGGCGGCGTAGTCCCAGACACTGACTTGGTAAACTGTCACAGCCCCTTAATCCAGAATGTGCTAAACCCGCATTGCTAATGAAGTGGATTAGAGTTAATTTTTGATAATCACAAGTGGCAGTTACTATTACTKTAAACAATCAGAAAGGGGTATCTGTGGCCACACTGCTTGTTCTGTTTTTGTAGAAGTGCTTCCTTAACATCAGTGCCTGCCTAGAAAAATGTAAGACGTTTAAGTTTAAAGGTTGCTCTGGTTATTTCAAATGTATCTATTTTAATTAACAGAAGTACAATGTAAAAAGCTGGCTAAACTACAAAACAGTTTGAACATCCAGGTAGTACAACTCTTCTGCAGTCTTAACGGAATTTCAGAGATGTGTACAGCATGAGGATAATGTTTGCTGAATTGTTTATTTAAAATTAGAGAAACATTCAAGTTTTCATTATATCTCTGAATTTCGGATTTTTTTTTTGGGGGGGGGTAATGTTTTTTATTTTACTTAGGGTTTTTTAATGGCCCAGACAGACCTTTGTTAAAGCTTTTGCTATTTGTCAGAAATAGCATGGTTATTGTTAAATGACTAATGAGCTAATAAAACATTATATAAACTCCAGAGTTTAAGTGAGAACACTTTTTATATTTAGGTGTGGGTGATGTCAGGATGAAAGTTTAGTAGATTTGTGCTTTCTATGACTTCTAGAATTTCACTGTCTGGCTCTTCTTTTCAGAATGTTTTATTCCTATTCCTTGCACAACTGACAGTAGTGGAAGTTGAGAAACATGAGAGGTGGGAAGCTTGTAAGATATTTTGCTTTAGCGAACCCATAAGAATATAATGCTGCTACTTTAACTATTTTACTTCCTGCTTGTCTGTTCTTTCATCCTTGTTTTTGGTTCTTGCTTCTTGCCTTTCTTTTCTTGTTTTCCCATAGCTTGTGTGTGGGTGTTTGGTGTCTGTATCAATGCACTGCCACTGATCATTGCTGTGTGACCTCCCCTGTAAACTGCTGCTCCAAACATTGGAATTGGGTTTGTTTCAACCGTTCTTTTGTGAAACCAATTTGTTGATCATTCTTGAGAAATTCTGGAGGACATAGAAAGTTATCAAATAAGAGAGAATCAGTGAAACTGATGTCTCTCCTTCTTGCTGTGGGAAAAAACCTGGTAGCTATCAGTTGCTTTGGAGGTGCCTAGCTGAAAACCTCACTGAGAATTATTTAGCAATCCAAATGAATGGCCCAGTAAGTTTCCAGCATGGAGTTGAAGCCAACTGAACCACTTCTGGATTTTTTTTTTCTGACCTTTCCATAACTACTCAACAGTTTAAAAAAGAGCATCTAGAAAACTTTCTGATACCCTAGCCTCTCACTTGTTTTAATTTTGACATGGTCTTGTTTTGTCAAGAGACAAGAAAATCAGCAGGGAATGGCTGTTTTTTCTTATTGGCCTCTGACAGTTTTGAGGGCTGAATGCTGGTTTACAACTCTCTTCTGGTTTGATTTGATGATCTTGAGTGAGCAAAATGGTTGTTGGAAACTGGAAGGTTATTCAGTTGCCTGGGAAAGTATCAGATGTGAGACTTAGATTTTATTTTAAAGAACTGGTTTTGCTGACTTTTTGGTATCAAAGGGTTTGAAAAGGAGAGCAAAGAACTTAAAACTGCAGCCAATAAAGTTTTTTGCAGAGACGAATGAGTATTTTTGGGGATGCTTTTTCTTGGGGATCTGCCACGTGTGGTGTGCAAGGCTGCCTAGAAATATTTCTGGTAGTAAACTAGGACTCTCTGTTTAACAGTCCTCAGTAATGTAGCTCTGAGTTTGTTAACTCCACTGTATCATGCCCCTTTACTTTATCCAACTTATTTCCATTTAAAGGGCATGGGGCCCATTGCAAGCCACATGAGGAAACCTGTGCTTCAGAGCTTCTGTTTTCTTATGGCTGTTGGGATTATTCAGGTAGGAAACATAAAGAAAGATTGTAAAATGGTAGTACAGACCCAGACTTTTCTATACAATGTATCATCAAACACTGTTTTCAGTTGTCCTGATAATAGTTATTCGCAGAGCATATTAATTCACTTTCTTTGGACCAAAACCAAGTATTTTAATTCTCATGAATATAAATTTGTGACATAATCATGGTTTAATTTCATATTAGTCTTTATAACTATATTACTATGGTTACAGAAGTAGTGGCACTTTAATATGTGAGGAAATGTTGTGTTTCTCTTACTGCTGCAATCCAGAGTTTGTCACAAGTGAATGTGCAGCTTTGCCAGAGTTAACAGAGCCATGYTGTTGCCTGGTACAGGATGGTATTGTTGCTCCTAGGTAGGCTTACTCACCTAATGGAGCAAGCTAGCACTGTGAAAGAAGAAATAATAATATGGCACATTGTTATGTTATCATATAACAAATGTTACTGTACATTCATTATGTAATAAAATCAGTGCTGTTAGGGTCCTCTGAACATCATATTAATGCTTATTAACACAAATCTATGGCTCAGGTGTGTTTCTCCTCAACCATAGCCTACATACACTGCCATTTAGTTGCCCTTCATCCTTTGTGTGTTCCTGAAAGCTCAGTCCCAAGACCATTTAGGAGGGAGAAGTTACTGCCCTTGTCCCTGTGGTAGTTCCCTGCCAGGAGCAGTCTTTCTCTCYGTTTTGCAGGGCCTGGCCTCAGCCTGAGGTCTGTAGCAGTCCTCACAAAATCACTCTCTACAAAAAGTTCTGACTTCAGGAAGGAGAAAATCCAAATTGTGGATAGCCAGATATAAGTCAGGGACAGCTGTAGGCACCTGGGCTGCTGCAGTGTGGTGACTGAAAAACATGACTGGGCCTGAATTGGATGGAAAGCTAAGGGATTGTTTTTTATTTCCACCCCTTTAGTGTCTGGTACTCTTTGTACCTCTTGTACTGATTTAAGTTATACCAGAAGGTAATCAGGGCAAGGGTCATTGTTTTGTTTTGTGTTTAGACAGTGTAGAAGACAATGGGGGCCCACACTCTGAGACATAAATAGTGTTAATTATCAGCTGCTTCCTAAGTGACTGTTGGGAACAGGGACCATTTCTCTTCCTCTCTTCTCCTATTGTTGATTTTTTAAATGAAGTTTTTAACTAAATTCTTGCCAGGAGATTAACTATTAAAAGATTTAGGATGCAGTGCATGCAAAATAAAGCCAGAGTGTGTTTAGGCTGGGATACTGTAAATTAAGTTTTTGGAAAAGTTTTAAACCTTTCTAATTCTTTTAAGCATCTGTCTTTTACTAATAGACTATCTTTGTAGATTACAGATTGGTGCTGAAATGAAAGCAGTTAGTGGAATATGCTGTATTGTTAGAGAAGTGTGTGGGGAAACTAATAYGGAACTACATGTTAATTACATGTACATGCTGATTTCTGGAGCAACAATGACACAGGACACATTTTTTTTTGGCAATAACTACTCTTTCCTTCAATACCTTTCCTTAATACCAACTTTAATGGTATACACTGAGAGGAGACTTGAGAAGGTGAAGAGTCTTTGGAACTTAATTTGCTAGTCAGATATGTATTGTGAATACTGCCTGATCCTGTTGTGATTGTACTAGTTGACCTTGTTGAAAACGTCATTGCTTTTGCTTAATCAAGGCAATCATGTTAGCCTTAGCAGTTGATTTTCAAAGTGACATTTACCTGAAGGGAACAAACTTTRCTTTATTCAGAGATGTATTCAAAGATAATAATGGTATTAATTATTATTCAGCATTTAAGCAGACAAAGTCACTAGCTGTGATGGTAAATGTTGTAGTGTGATTGTTTTCTGTGTTCCTCAATTAAAATACATCTTATGGAAGATAAGTTAGAATAGATTGCCAGTTGTTTCTTTTCATAACATGTTTTGCAGATACTAAACTAAGGTTGTGTGTTGACTCGTTTTAGCTACAGTGAAGGATAATAGTTGATTACATGACTTGCCTGTGCAGATAAGCAAAGTTCTTGTTGGAAAACTGAATGCATTTATGCTAACATCCCAGCAAACACCTAGGAATGGTTAACAGCTGACTGCCACCCTGTACCCCTGCTAGAACCAGTGTGAACATTATTTTTCTGTCTTTACACAGTGAATCTCTTCCTGACTGGGAAAATAGAAAGTGCTGCTACCTCATTAGGTAAGACATACTTTTCTTATGTATTTACTGTTCATTTGAGTTTTTACTGTTTCTTCCCCATACAAAGAAATGTTCTAATGAAAGAGTGACCTTTTATGATGATATTTATTTAAGACAGTTTTAACAATGACATCTTAGGAAGTTTAGGACTTTTAAGTCTTCTTGGGCTTTGTCTCAGTGTCACCAAGGCAATCAGGGATCCTTGTCCTGGTGTCACCAAGGCCAGGGATCCTTGTCCTGGTGTCACCAAGGCCAGGGATCGCTGTCCCGGTGCCAGCCAAGGCCAGGGATTACTGTCCTGATGTCAGCAAGGCCAGGTGTCCTTGTCCCAGTGCCAGCCAAGGCCAGGGATCCTTGTCC